ACGGGGCAGCCAGGCTGCAGCAGCCATTTGTCACTCTCCCTGGCTACAGCAGGCCCTTTGCCACCTGCTTTATTTGTCTCCCAGCCCTGACGTGGCATCAGACAGGTGTTAAACTACTTAATCACTTTAAAATTGTTTTAATTTTCTGTTTTGTATTGATCTCCACAGCGCCAATTAATCAGCTCACTGGACCAGGCAGTTAGTACATTAAAAATTGTCAGCCACGCTGGGCAGCTTAGAAAATGTTAAAAAAATATCCCGACAGCAGCCCTTCACTTCTGTTGTGTGGAGCCTGCTCCTGCCAAGCACTGGCTCTGCCCACGAACAGTGACGTCTCTCCCTGCCAGCAGCCCCATGCTCCCATGGGACCTGGCTTCCCACATCCTTGCAAAGGGGCTGTCAGCTCTGTCCCCCCACCCCAGCGTCTGTCCCACGGAGCCAGTGGAGGAGCTGTGTGGCTGAGGAGGAGACATTACAAGCCTCATGCTTGGTCAGGGACCTACAGGGGGTGAGCAGTCTCCTGGGCCCTGGAAAAGTGCTGCCAAGCAGTCAGAGCTCCTTGCAAAGCGCCTCCAGCCCAGTGACAGACTGGGAAGGACTGGGACTCAGGAGGTGGGCTGCGTGGTGATGACCCATAGCCCCACACCACAAGGCTGGTGTTCAGGTCCACTGAAAAGCCCCAGTGCTTCAGATGACTCTGCTGTCCCAGGGCTGGACTTGGTCACCAACCTGTTGCAGGGAAGGGCATCTTGGGTTGCCCTCAGCACCCACTCCATGCCTGTGCCACACTGCTACTCAGTGACTCATAGGTCAGCAGCACCTTATCGTCTATCGATTTCCTCCCAAGATACAGCCGGTGTGTTTGTTCGCACCTGGCTGGCACTTCGTTGGCTGAACAACTTGCCGAGCTTGCTGGGCTCTCAGTGCTGTGCCAGTGGGAGCCCCTTTAGTATCCCAAGCAGCTGGAGATGGCTGGCTCTGCTCAGCACCCACTGCCAGCATGCAAGGGCTCAGCCCTGGGGACCCAGAGCGGGGGGCGTGCAGCCCCCACCTGCACACGTGTGTGTATGTGCCGCCCCTGATGCTCAGGGGTGCAGCACGGGGTGGGGAGACCCACCAGGTTGGCAGGCAAACACACTAAGGCTATTGATGCCACATCAATCCTGCAGCCCTGACAGGTGAATGGGCTCTCACTCACACTGTTAAGATAAATGATATTTATTCGCTGCTAAGAGGTTCCAATAAGAGGCCCTAAGAGTGACTTTTGAACCAGCACCTCTTGCTGCTGGTGCACAGCTAAACCAGAGAAAACCCCTGGGAAAGGTCCTCAGGGCTGCCCTGCCCCACACACTGCATGGCCCCTTCCCCTGCCTGGCATGCAGACCCTGCCCTGTATGTCATATCCCTGACCCTTCTCCAGCCCAAACTTGGGAGGCCACCCTGAACCACATGCCAACGAAACAAGTGCTGGGACTTGACTGAGACCTTTATTTCATCAATGCTGACAGCACGGCTGCACTGACAGTGCCCACACACATTGTTTCCAGCATTGTGAGCCATCCAGCTGGCAGCAGCCCCAACCCCATGGCCAGGCACCTCCTGGTGGGGGGTGGTCACCCCTGGGCAGGACGTAAGTGGCCAGGCCAGTCACTCCGTGGCCCAGAGGCTGTGCCCGTGCTCAGCCGCTGTGTGTGCCCAGGCCCAGCATCGAGAAGGCTGCACGGTGCTTCCTCAGCAGCAGCCGGATCTTCTCATCATCTGAGTCGGGGTCCAGGGGCTTGTTGTACTCATCATCCTCGGTCTCAGAGGCCGCCCGCTCTCCTCCAGAGCCTGCCGCCCGCTGCGAGGATGAGGAGGGCTCCAGGGCACTTTTCTTCCTCCATTTGGTCCGTCGGTTCTGGAACCAGACCTGTCGCCCCATGGGCCCAGCTCAGTTAGCAGCCACCACACCGTGCAACCCATGCCACGCAGGGACCAACACTCACCTTCACTTGAGACTCAGTCATGCCAAGAGAATAGGCCAGCCGTGCTCTTTCCGGACCTGCCAGGTACTTGGTCTGCTCAAATGTCTTCTCCAGAGCAAAGATCTGGTGCCCTGTGAAGGTTGGACGCGTGTGCTTCTTCTTGTGAATGTTGTCAGCCAGGTGAGCAGGGGCTGCAGGAGAGGAGAAGAGAGGTGGATAAGCATCTGGGCTCTCTTCAGCCCACAATTCTGGGCTCCCCTTCTCCTGAACACAGCACCAGCACACTTGCCAGCCCTCGGTGTCCACAGTGTCCCCTGGCTCCCCTCCAAATGGCTTCAGCCCTATCCCAGGAGGGCTGAGCTGCCCACTGTGAGGGTCTTGTAGAGCCAGAGTTGAGCCGTGCACCTCCTGCTTGAGGATGGCACTAAGTGGTTGTGCTAAGAGGGGAAGGGTCACTGGCAGGAGTGCATGACCCCAGAGCCATGCAGTGCTGGGAACACTGCCACCATGCCTCACACCATGACAGATGCATGACAGAAGGCAGACAGAGCTGTCATCGGCTCATAGCTGTGCTGGGAGCAGATGGTTGAGCTGCCTGACCCCTCTGCTCCAAAAGCATCACCTGGAGGGGAGAAAGAGGACCGTGGCTGCATGTTCTGAGCAGCTGCACTCAGCTCCTGGCCCAGAGCCTCCTGGGGCTCCTCATGGGACAGTTGATGTGCCCATCCCATCCCTCCCACCAGCAGCGACATGCTCTGCAATTCCCCTGCCAGCTCTCCACCAGGAAGGCAGTGCTGCCAGCCCAGGGCTTACCTACCTCTACCCCGAGCTGGACCAGGCACTGACCCCTAGTGAGGCTGCCAGAGGATCTGGGAGTCAGAGGGTTCTGCCTGTCCTTGCCAGCTGTGGCCACCTGGGGACTGGGCAAAGAGTTAATATCTGTCGTGGCAGCTGCCCCTGCTCTTGAGCTGAAACCTCTGTGACAGTTTGAGATCCAGCAGTGGAGTCATTCCCACTGTCCTGGGGCAGCCCACAGGCCAACCAGCTGTGCCTCGCACAGGGCGATGGAGAGAAGACGTGGCCTGGTGTCAAGGAATTAACTCCATCCCAGCTGAAA